AAAACTGGAAATGTGCTGCAGTGTAAAAAGGCTTCCGGTCTTCAGTAAAGATTTGAATCCACAGATCATCCAAACAAAGACAAGAGTCTTTGAGTCACAGAGAGGGACTGAAATGTGAATCCAGCAGCAGCAGCAGACACAGTAGCAGAGGTGTTTTCTTCAACAGGATTACCTGTTTAAATGAAGGATTCACAGAAAGAGGATGTGTGGATGTGTCTAATGACTGAACACAATCAAAAGCTTGAATCCTGTAATCCTATTAGACTCTGTCAGTCTGATTTTTACTGACTGTGAGAGCAGGAAAACAAACATCCTGGAGTTTGGAGGCTGAATGTGACAGAAAGCTAACACTTCTAGCTCTGTGCTTTAGCAGCAAACAGCACAGTGATGATGTCTGTTAGCTTTGGTTAGTGATCATAGGACTGATCTGAAGATCTCTGCAAATACTTCAGATACAGCTTCTACTTTCGGAGATACGCCCTGAATAAAACACACACTTCTCTGATATCTGATTTATGATCCATGACATCTGTTTGCATCCAGACCCCATCAGCAATAATGACCACAGACTCATTTTAAAGACGGCTCACTCCCTCTGAATAAAGATAAAATGATGGAGCTTCATTTCTGATCTCAAAAAGAGCTGAAATTCAGTGAAGTCTCTGATGCTTTATCTGAACCCACCACCAACAGAGAGTGAGAGAGAGGGAGAGAGAGAAACACTCTGTAGTTCTGATAGTAGAGGAGCTTTTTCCTCTCTCTCTATCAGCCATGAAATCCTCTACTGCCAAAGCAAAGACACTCCAGTTTTATCAGTTTCTGCTGTTCTGGATTCCTGACTCACCGAGTGTGAAACCCTATAAAATAACGTCTGAATCACTGAAAACAACTTTGACAAACATTGATCTGAAAAAATGAGCAGAGGAAGAGGACAACAGTTGATCCCTTTAGGGTGCAAAAACTAACAATGGGGCACTGAACGTTTTTATCCTTCAAAGGTGGACATGGCAGAAAAACAATTGGGAACCTCAGAATTCATCGGTCTTCAGTGGTACTTTACTGACATGGAGAGTATGCATTAGTGAGACAGAGTTCACGGTGTGGTTTCCTTTCACTCTTGCACACCAGCAGAGACATGGAGCAGCTCCTACGCTCATTATAACTTGTTAAAAATGAAACTGAGATTTGTCATTTGGTTAGAGGGCTTGGGGATTGGAGGGCTTGTCTCTGCATGTCATGTTACTGTTCAGTATATAAAGCTGAGAACAAGGACACCATCACTGCTGTCTCCTTATAACCTCAGCCCTTCACCGCCTTACAGCTGCAGCCAGAGTGTCGACAAGCTTCACTGTGCAAGCTCTCCAGATTTCATGCTGAAGCAGTCACATACTCACACACATGCTAACACACACCTGAGGAGTGTTTGCTGCAAACATAACTCTCAGTGCACTAACTGCGGTGTTCCCTGATATTGAAATACTGAACAGTATCCATTACACACCCTGTACAGACCAAAGCGTGTGATCCAGCAGGAAAAAAAGTGACTAACAGTCTTTGTGTCAGTGATGTGAAGCATAAAGGATTATCATCATCATTAGATCCTGTCTAATACTGTCACCGTGTCCCCTTTTGAATAATTAAAATCATTTCATGTGTCAGCTCTATCTTTTTAAGAAGAGAGGATGAAATCTATTTGTGCAAATACCAAATAGTCTGCCCGTGGAGTCGTGTAACTCTTGGAGGGAAAGGGAGCAGTCACTCTGATTGAGCTGATGTGTGCTATGCTGGAAACACACATGAGCAATCAAGGGACTAAATACCACCTTTCTGCACCCTGAGCCTCAATGTGCGACCAGATTGCATGACCCTTAAATTGGAAAATATGGTTAGACCTGCACTAATTCGCTCTGTGCCACACTCATCAGATCATTGAGACTCAACAGAGAAATAAAGATCTTCAGTCATCTATCTTTGTTCGAGACAAACATTCACATCAGAAACTCTGCAGGGGAATGTTTGAGAAAAACACTCAAACTCTGTATATTTTTAATTTACAACAGCTGTTAATGTTTTGTCTAATTTTCTGCACCATAAATATGAATGAGGACCAAACAGAGCAAAGCGAATCAACTCTGATTTTCTGATAAACTGCAACAACTATTAAAAAATTAACCTATGATCATCTCAGATTGATAACATGAATATAAGGAGACACTGAGATCATAACCAAACAAATAAAAAGACAGCAAATCCCTCAGATGTCAAAGCAGAGTTTCCTTGAGCCAGATACGGCTGAGAAACCTCTACAAAGCTGTTCTTGTCCAAAGACCAGCAGGTAAATCAGTGCAGGAGAGAGCCGACGGCAAAGAAGCTCTGCAGAGAGACGGACATCATGCTGTCCTCACAGGAAACACTGACTGCAACACATATCAACCCGCTGTCAGTCAGCAGGAGGAAGGTTTGAGAGGATTATTCCACAAAATACACAAAAAATATAAAAGTCTCTGAGCTTTGAAAGCCAGTAAATCAGAAACGACAGAGAACAGAGTCCAGACAGTATTGTGGGAGCAGAGAGGATGTGCAGGTGAGGGAGGTTTTCTGTCTGAGTGAACTGATGAGGAAAAAGTCAGAGAAAAGACTTTGACTCTCTGAGAAAGGGTTTTAAGATGGAGGCAGGGGTGGGAACCTGGATGGTGGATCTCTTTTTCAGCTCCCTCACCTTCCCTAAAGTCGAAAAACCTGATGAGAATAAAAACAAACAGCTGATTTATTCTTTTCTGTAGAGACAGGACTGGATCATGCTGACAATCAGAGTTCAGGTAAAGCTTTCTCATCAGGCCGATTGCAGGCGCGCTCTCTTTAAATTAGCCAGTCAGATTTCTCCCTGACTCTCTGGACCAATCATTTTCCTGCTATCAGACTTTATAAAGTCCTGTCCCCTCAGCAGCTTCAGGAATCGATGATTTTTAAGATGTGACAGAAATCCATCAGAGACACACTGACGATGACAATGAAGGAAAATAAATAGTGAATGTTTCCATGACGATCCTCCAGCAGCTTTCACAGTCTGACTACATGAGCAGCAGATTAATCCAACCCCCCTCTGTTATCACAAACAGCTTCCATCAGGAATCTGTGACTGAGAACCCAACAGGTGTCTTTACCTGAATACTGAGGCTCAGGTGTGTTTACAGAGCTCTCAGACGGAGCAGCTGATTGGTTAGTGAGCTGCTTCTGTCATCACTCCATCAGCATCCACTAACAGCTGATTTAAAGCTGCTCGTCTCTCAGTCTGAGAGCCTCATCACTGACTGCTGCTGACATCTCACCACACAGAGGAGAGACTCCACCCAGACTAAAGCTTTCTGATCCTCCACCCATTATTTCCCTGCTGCTCTGAAGTCTGCTCCTTCACACTCTCTGCACTCCACTTGTCTGAATCCACCTGTTACACACACACACTGTCACTATCCTCACACACTCTCTCTCCATACTATACACACCGTAAAGCATAAAGATCAGAGCCAAAGAGAGTCAGAAAGATCAGCAATCATTACAGAGAGGTAGCAGACATGTTTCACAGAGATGGTCTCGTAGAGACCTTTAACTTAGTCTAAGTTCTGAATCCAAAACAGAAATAAGATAGTGAACAGCCCATCCTGTGTTCCTGATGCACAGATTTACTCAGAGCTGTTAGGAAGAAGTGTGTGAGTGTATTTGGCAGCTGACCAGCCTCCACGGATCAGATTGGACCATCAGCCTCTGCATCAAACTGCTCTTAGTCCCACAATGAAGAAACTTAACACCAAGACCAGATCAGGTCACATTATATTAGATAAATTCATCAAATGCTTGAACTACTTTATTCGGAACAAACAGCTTTACTGGACCAGCCACCAGCTGATATTCAGCATGAGAAGGATGAGGAGATCAATCTTTCTCTCCCCCCTATCTCTCATGCCTGTGCAGGCCTTATTTGCTAAAAGATTTCAGGGCTTTTGAGCCCACCACATCTATTATAATGAGCCTGATTCAGTGAGATCTGCCCTGACAGCCACGCGCAGTCAGAGAACATTTTTCACTGTCTGCTGGGAGCTGGTCAGCTTCTAACTCTTACTCTTCAGTCATCCTGACAACTCCCACCTGGATGAACTACAATAGTATGAGTGCATAAAGCCTGTTGATATGACTTTGACATTCCTGTTTTAAATCAGGAGTCATATCAGCGTGTGACTGTCTGTAGCTCAATCTCCAACACATACAGACTGTGCCATTACGCACGATGGAGTGTTTTTACTCCGTATTAATTTCTTATTGACAAGCTGCTTTTGTACCCGAAGTAAACTAAGAGATTTGTGCCACATTAGTCATTAATGGATAGATTAAAATAATCTATCAAACTGTAGAGAGGTAAAGAGTTTTCCTCCCCGCGCAGCTCATATATGGACAGAATTAATCTCCGTTTGGATGAATGCAGCCGAGCATGGGCATGCTGGCAGTTCATCTCACTCACAGTAAAACGCAAACTGCACAGAGCTGCACAACTTTGAAGGCGTTTTGAATGTAGTGCATTTTGCTTAGTGAATAAGATTCTGAGACGGAGCAATGAGCGGGACAAATGATGCGCAATTCTTGGTGTTTTCAACAGCCGCAGTCCATTCTGAGTGAATCAGCCCTCAGCGTTGTCAGGGAAGGAAGTCACTTCACATACCTTCAGAACTCGAGTCAGCAGCAGACGGACAGAAGCACAAGAAACATCCACTGTGGGCAGTTGTCACTGCTCTCTCATCTCCACTGTTTCCTAGTAGAAAACCATGTCAGCACATGAAATGAAAAGAATCAAACCATCCCTTGCCTTGAAATCCAAAGAGGAAAGCGACGCCGGGGATCCACACGGTGTGTATCCAGAAGTAAAGCATGGTGTCCTTTAATCGGCTGGAAAAGCTCCGCGCTCTTCCCGACGAAGCTCCGTCTCCAGCGGATAATTTCCAGAAGAGAAAGCGCTGAAAGTGAAGCCGAGCGGATGAAGAAATCCCAGTCTGACCGCTGCTGATCAACACTGTCCCTGCTCCACTCCACCTGCTGCTGCTGCTGTTGGACAACGAGGACACAGCGACCCCTACAGGTATATCACACCCTACACCAGGAAAGCGCATGTGCGTCTGGCCCGCGCGCGCGTGTGTGTGTGGTGGTATTTATCACTTTGTGGGGAAAAAAGTGTGTTTTTTTCCCCACAAGGTGAAACTGGAGTGTCTTTTTTTTCATGAATGCAGGAGCTCCTCTGATGTTGCCTGTGTGATATTTCGAGTTGGCCCAAAAAGCAAGTTTATCCATCAGAGTGTGTGTGTGTGTGTGTGTGTGTGTGTGTGTGTGTGTGTGTGTGTGTGTGTGTGTGTGTGTGTGTGTGTGTGTGTGTGTTTGTGTGTGTGTGTGTGTGTGTGGTGTGCACAGTAGTCCCCCCTTCAGTTTTTGGCTGGTAATGCACTTGTTGCTCCACACACACAGTTATTGCAAATATGGATAGGAACCACCTACTTCCCAGTCCACAGTCGGAACAATTTTATCACCAATATCATTTTAAGTGTTTACTGTAAGTCAGTTCTATGTGTACGATCGCATTACAACTTTGAAAAGGAAAGTGTAACTTAAATAATTTGAGATAACCATCCCTAAGGTTGGTCAGTTTTTGCTAACATTCACATGTGGATCATACTGTTCACACTGCTTTCTTGTGCAGTGTATGTTCAGAGTTTCAGTGCCAACTAAAATCAGTTTGCAAGGAGGCATAATTAAAGTTATTTGCACTTCTTTTTTCTCTTTTCCCGGGGTAACTTTAGACTTCATTGTTGGTGTGTTGGGTTTATTTCTGGAGCTTTATTCATTAAAACTTGAATATCGCCATTTCAAAGTCCATTTGGTAGTTGCCCTAGGGGTATTTTTGCTGATTTAATACAAGGTGTCAGGAGGTTGAGGAGCTAGGGCCAAAGCTGGATGATTGTGGTTAAAATATATTAAAATTATTCAATAGCTTATTTTTTTTACGTGTTACAAAGACCTTACCTTGAGACGGGACAGATTTGACGCATTTTATCGAACATGAGTGACGAACTTTGCAGTATTTAACAAGTTACAGTGGAGAAGAAGAACTTCCTTTAACAGGCAGAAACCTTGAGCAGGACAGGACCCATGTCTCATTTTTTAAGACTTTTAAACTTCAGTCCTGTTTCAGCTTTTATCTCAAACTGTATTAGACTTTCATCTTTGTTTATAGACTTTAATCTCCTAATAAAAAATGACCGTAATGTTATTATAAAAAGAATGTCATGTGGTAATAAATGACTAATTAATTCATGCAGTAAAAGGACTTTATCCTTGTTTTATAATGACCTGTTAAGTCATTATTTCAAATCTAATCCTGTTATATACTGACTTAAAACTCAAAAGGTATTTTCACTTAAGTCTTGTCATACAATGACTTATGACTCCTAATATATAATGACTTCAAACTTGTCAAACCATGATTTTAACTCATAAGATTCAATGATTTGTATCTTGTTAGAAATGACTTTTAACCTCTAACTTAAAAATGACTTTAAAACTGCTATAGAAATGCTTTCATCTTTATATATTAAATTACTTTTAACTTGTTATGTGATGACTTATCCACAAGATAAATACTAACTTCAATTTGACTTTTTCCTTTAAAAGAAAAAGGACATTAATCTTGTTTTATAACAACATTTATCTGGTGATATACACTTAATTTTAATCTTGTTATGTGATGACTCTTCCGTCACAAGATCAAGCTTGAAACTTGTAATATTTTGACTTTAACTCATTGGGCTCTATTTTCGTGCTTTGCCGGCGACGTGGCGCAGGCACAGCATAAGTCAGGCTCGCTGTACCGACAAGGTGTTGCCAAGCCCAATTTGGTATTTTGGTAAGCGGCCCAGCCCGGCGTAAGTATCCCCCTCCCTAACTCAGCTCCTCCCAGCGGCGTAAATCGTAGGGAGGGAGGAGAGAGGGCGTGGAGTGGGTTTAACACAGCCGAGACCTGTATTGACCAATAACATAAGCTCCTCTCCTCGCCTTTAAATCCACCACCGGACAATTTACAATTTACAATTACAATTTTCGTGAAATAGTCAGAGATCAAGAGATGTCTGAAGACAGCGATGCCACACGATGGCGACAGAAGGCAGCCGCTCAACAAGTGTCGCTGTAAGCGCTGCATTGGGCGTCCTCCACACTCTCTCATATAAGCACAGATGGATTTGGTGTGTGTAATGTTGGACCCACCGGTAAGACAAACACCCTTCTCCACAAATAAAGACACTCACATCAAGTTGCACATATTTAAACCTCACGCAACAAAGGTGGATTGTGCGCAGCGATCACATCATAAATTCCAAAAATGGCATTAAAATCGGAACCATCTGTGGCCTCATGCTCATGCACGCATCATGCTCCGTGGCCTGGCTCTTTCTTTCATAGATGTTGGCATATAAAATAAATTTGGCTCACAAAACTGAATATTATAATATTCGTATGTAGGCTTCAAGTAAATAACTCATCTGAGCACTGAAACAAATCATCTGTTCAGCCTGTGCAGCTGCAGCAGGACGGGGAGAGGACACGGAGACGTGTTCAGGTCGAGCTGCACAAGAAATAAGAGGAAGAGGAAGAAAGAAAAGGAGGGAGACAAATTAAATATCTTGTTCACTTCATCATGTGTGTTTATTAACTAGATATTTAATTTAATATAGTGCAGTTTCAGCTGTGGTAATTCGGTCAGGTTGTGTGTCCAAACGCATGCCAAATGCGCTCATCAGATCAGATATAGATCAGAATATATCTATATAGATCTAAATGTATGTGCTGACTCAGATTATTAGTTGTTGTTGATTATTTATTGCACTGAAATGTGCCTGACACTGTGGAAACCTGCCGGTGAGGCATCAGTGACGTATGCCGATACCCCGCCTGTCTACCAAAATACCACTAGACCAGCTGCGCTCCGCCTGCACTGAAAGTTGACCAGGTTTGAATCAGCAAGCTTTCAGCGCACTTTACACGCCGGCGGCGAGCACGAAAATGTCACTGCACCAGCTGATTCTGTCGACACCTCCCCCTGCCATGCCACCACACCCAGCTTGGCAGACCTCGGTGCACCTCAGTCCATGAAAATACCAAACTGGCTGTACGCCGGGCTCCACCAGACGAAAATACCACTGTGCGGGGTCCGCCACCCTTCACCGCATCCCCGGCGGACACGAAAATAGAGCCTTTTATGACTTTTATCTTGTCCTAAAATGAAAATAGATAATGAATTTGATCTTGAAATAATCTGTAGACTTTTATTCACAGAATCTTTTTTACCTGCATGTGGCCCTAATACTTGTTAGCAGATAAAGATAGAAAATACATGTTGTTTGTTTTTTTCCTTTAGGGTGCTCATTTCTAAATAAATTATTTTTTTCACTATCAAGCACCAAAATGATCATCAATATTTCAATCTGTTTTTTATTTATCTCTGAAAAGAATCCTTGACACAGTTCTTACATTGTGTTGCCTTTGACGCCCCTGTGGACACTTTTGGTATGAGTTGTGTCTTAAAGATTTTGATTTTAGCAAAATCATAGGCAGGAGAACTTTTTTTTTTACTGCTTTAGTGTATGAAATTGGAAATTCAAAAGACTCATGTTTCAATATTTAAATTCCATCATTTTGCATTTCTTAATAGTTTTATATCTATATTGATTACAGTTTGAAGAACAGGCAAAAATACAAGAGCACCCCAATTCACAGGTGAAAGAAGGAAGATGGTGAACAGGAATTTTTCGACCATGCTCATGCAGTCAGTTTAAAAAAAAAAAAAAAAATTACAATAAAACAAATAAAACCTTTAAACCAAACCATAAGAAAATAGATTCTCTAACACAGAGAACAGAAAAAAAGGAAATGGACTGCCACCCTTGAAAGTTGTCCATATTTTCTAATTCACATGATAATTCTACAAAAAAAAAAATTGTACACCTGTCATTGCTATCAGATTAAACTTATCCAAATTTTGGCTTGGTGCATTTAAAGCCAATTTTACACTAAAAAAAAGAGAAAACCTTTTTCTTTGCATACCTTTAGTGAATTTGGTGAATTTCCCTTCATCTTTATTGACCACAAAAAATCCAGCTCTAATTTTCCACTTGTAATATTTTTTATACTATCTCCATTAACATTTAGTTCCCTAAAGATAATTTTTACAAAAAATTAAGACAAGAGCACACCTACTTCTTGTTTCTGCAATGTTCCCCTTACAATGACATATACGTCACATCAGATTTATCATACATAGCAAACACTGAAATAAAACAAACTGTTATTGTGTCTTATTTCTAACAGAAATGTCTAATTAGACAAAAAAAAAGACAAAGTTATATCACAAGTCCAGAATGGTGTCTTGCTTTGAGATATTTTAATCCTAAAAGATGACTTATTTGTGGTAATAAAAAATGTAAAACTTCCAATGGATTAATAAAAACAATACTTGTAATGTTCTGGAAAAAAAATCATTTGAATTTCAAAAAGACAAAACAACAAACATTTGCTAGGATTTTTTTTTACAGTGTAACAAGCCTCTCAGCACAGCCAGATATTATTTTATTTTACAGGGATGATTTACAAAAAACAATCCTGATTTAACATGTTGCAAAATTTAATCCAATGTAATCTAATCTAATCTAATTTATAAAGCACATTAAAACCAGGAGCTCTGTACAACAGAACAACATAAAACAAGAAATAATCCCAAATATTCAGTATCTCCACTCTGAAGAAATGAAGAGTTTAAATCTCTACACATTTCCACTGTTGGTCAAATGGCAATAATGAATTTGGGATAATCTGATTTTGTTAGATTTGGGGGGCTATTCTTCCCCACCCCCCACCACTACCACCATCACCACCCCCATAGGTTGAAATTAAATGTTTAGTACTTGAAGACAAATATGAATAAAGTTCTTTTAACTTTGACTGGAGTAGATACTCAGACCGGTAGTTTGACTTCTACTTCAGTCAAATGTCATTAGAGTAAGTCGACTTTGACTTAAGGAGAATATTTTAGTCTCTTTCCACCCCTGCATGTCACTAGTCTCTGATCTGAATAAACTCAAGTGTTTATTCTGGTTCAATAAACTCAGCAGAACTACAAAGAAAAGGGTAAAGTCCAGCATGTAGCGGCTGAGTGAATGTGGTCTGGACTCTGTGGAGGAGAGTCATGGTTTCAGAGACGCTGTAGAAGGACAGAATACCTGCTTTGTGATCCAGGTACACTCCTACTCTGGAAGACTGAGGACCTGAGACACGAGTGATGACTTTGTTGTGCACAAATGTATAACCGTCCTCATCACAGACTAACCTCCAAGATTTGTCATTGAATCCAAATTTACAATCATCTGATTTCCCTGCTCTGCTGATAGTCTTGTATGCGACTGCCACATAAACCCCTGCCCCTCTCAGCTCCACCTCCCAGTAACAACGCCCAGTCAGACTCTCTCTACTCAGGACCTGAGGTAAATGATCAGTGAACCTGTCTGGGTGAGCAGGATAAGACTGTCGTTGTTTTTTAAATGTTGCTCTTCTGTTTCCATCAGATAATAACAGCCACCTGTTTGCTGTGTTTGGATCCAGTGTGATTCTTTGTGAATATCTTAAGAAATCAGCTCTGGTCTTGGGTTCTGGTTCTGGTTCTGGTGGTTTTGACAGCAAAACATCCACTTCAGTCACTACCTGTGAGATGTTTGTCCACGTCTCTGTCAGAAGATCCTGGAGTATATCTCTGAGCTCTGACACAGCTGCTGTCACCTCCTCAAAGTATCTCTGAGGACGGATGTTGATCCTGGATGAGTCTGCAGGTTGACCCGGTCCTGACAGTGAGGGGTAGCTGTGCAGAAACTGGTTGTGGTCCTCTGTGAGTGAGAGCTTCTGCAGATCAGCGTCTTTCCTCTTCAGCTCAGTGACCTCCTGTTCCAGCTTTTCCTGAAGCTCTTTGACCTGACTCACTTCACGTTCCTGCTGGGATCTGACATGCTGCCTTACGTCAGAGCAGCGCTTCACCATGAGACGGATCAGCTGGCTGAAGATCTCCTGGCTGTGCGCCACAGCTTTATCAGCAGAGCCGTTGATAGCCTCCACCTCCTGTTGGAGCAGCTTCACATCTTCCTCTCTGTCCTGGATTCTCTTCTGGATGTTTCCTCGACTCTCCTCCAGATCTTTCTGCCTCTCAGTCCTTTCTGCTTCAGCTGAGACTGTGTTGTGGCCTTTGTGTTGGTCCAAACAGCAGAGATGACAGATAGACTGCTGCTCAGTGAGGCAGAAGATCTTCATCACCTCACCATGACGAGAGCAGATGTTCTCCTGGAGCTTCTTGGAAGGCGCCACCAGCTTGTGTTTCTTAAATGTAAGTGATTCAAAATGAGGCTGGAGGTGAATCTGGCAATAAGAAGCCAGACATTGAAGACAGGACATGACAGCTTTCAGTTTTCTCCCACTGCAGAAATCACAGGCCACATCTTCAGGTCCAGAGGGATCATCAAGAGCAGCTTGGTGTCCGCTCTTCTTCAGTTCCTCTACTAAACCTGCTAACATCGTGTTTTTCTTCAGGACGGGCCTCTGTCTGAAGGTCTCTCGGCACTGAGGACAGCTGTAGATCCTCTTCTCATCCTCAGTATCCCAGTGGGTTTGAATACAGCTCATGCAGAAGCTGTGTCCACAGGTAACAGTCACTGGATCCTTCAGTAGATCCAAACAGATGGAACAAAAGAAAGATTCCCGGTCCAGCTGAACTCCGTTCTGCGCCATTTCAACACTTGCTTTAGACGACTGACTGAATATCCTTAGCTGATTTCTGATCCCAAGTCAGCTCTGTATATGTTTGTTACACCCACACTCAGACTTTGGACCTGATCAGATCTGGGAGGAGTAATCCAGGAAGAGGAGCGGCGATGTGAACTCTGAACTGTGAATCACTTTTTATAAACTCTTCCTTATTTAATCAGTGTGTGTGTGTGTGTGTGTGTGTGTGTGTGTGTGTGTGTGTGTGTGTGTGTGTGTGTGTGTGTGTGTGTGTGTGTGTGTGTGTGTGTGTGTGTGTGTGTGTGTGTGTGTGTTTGGGGGGTTCAGCCCAGTAGTCTCTTTGGGTTCAGCTCTGACAGCTGGGCTTACTGAACTAACAGGAAGGAGACAGTCTGTCATCTATTAAAGCCCATGATTGTCATACCAGTACCAGTGTTGATTTGATTCAATAAACATCCAAACAGAGTTAAGACTCAGAGCAAAATGAACTTAAAACAGAATTTAAGGATTTTCAAATCATTTACAGTTTACATTTGACCAAATGGGTGGGCGGCAGCATATGTTACTCCAAAACCTGTATGCAGCTATACCATCAGGGATCCTGGCTTTGCTCCCACAGTCTCTCTCTGAATGGTGAACATCTTCCCATCTTTCCCTTTGAGAGACTCAGCCTCATAGTTTCAACATTCAACGTGTTTTTGCTCTATTTTCAGTTCAATGATGACAATAAATGATGTGAAAAAGATGAAATTCTGTTTTTTTCCAAACTCCTCTGGATATGAGGTTGTACACATTTGTTGTTCAACAGGGATGTGTGAGTTAATGCAGACTGCTGCAGGATCCGTATGTATTTATATCCACCTATATGTTACTTCCACCTCTGAGACCTCATGGCAGGCTGACTGTGTTCGGAGGTGTGTTTACGTTCCCACCTGTTTCCCTCACTCTGCTCATTTGTGTTTCAGTCACAGAGGGGATGGATGCTGTTTTCATTATGTGGAAGCAGCAGGAGGAGAAACACGGCAAAGGTTGGATGTTATTCCATCAGGCAGCCCAATAAAATGTATAAACTGCAGTTACACTCAGAAAATGTGAGATTTGATGTTTGAGGCGTAAATGTTCACAGGTTGTTATTTTTTAGTAACGCAGCTGGATGAACTGTGAAATGACTGTGTGAGCACTGTCAGCTGTCATACATGATTTATGGCCACATTATTTCAGCGAGTAGGCATGTGCTCCGAATAGAGAGCAATCAGGTTGACATTTGAAGGATTCATTAAAGTCGAGTTACTTGTGTATTATGTCAGTCTTCACTGAGTTAAATCAGTTAACATCTCTCAGCCAGCTGTGTGAATTACATATGAGGTATTAATTCAAAATCCACTGAAAGGCTAAACGGAACATGGGCGGGATGAAGTCAAGTCTATTCAGCTATGAGAAAAAACAACATGAATACAGAAAGACATTCTTGAGAGCTGTTTGTGAAATGAAAAGACAGGAGGAAGAGAGATATTTTAACTCAAGATAGGTCATTAATAACCTTCAGGATTTTAGAAACGGCCATGTCTATGAAATTACCCATAAAATAAAGAAAATATGACAGTCCACAGCATCCAGGTTCATAGTTTCCTGATCAGAGACATCAGCACTTTAACATTTCCTCTTTATGCTTTTTTCTTCATAAATGGACAAAAACAACTTTTCATCTATACAGACTGAATTCCACTTACTGTATGTCTTATGAAACTGCAAGCTGAGGTCAGTTATCCTGACCTCCCAGGATGTTGATTCATGCTTAATTTTCTACCCAGTGTATCCGTCCTCCAGACAACCTTTGAGAAGGGACTAAAATAATGATCATCCAAATGAGCTGATTTATGATCAGTCAGAGGAGAACATTTGAGTGACATGAGTTATTGCTGAGACACTGCAAAGATAATCTAACCTCCATTCAGTTGCAGAGACAGAGTCTTACAAAGGGAAGATACACAATACAACCATGTCACACACTGATCAAGTCCAGCCTCATGGATCGGGTTCACAGGATTTAAGGTTGTCGTGACCTTTAACCTCTCCATTCCTGTTGCTTTTCTTTCTTTGATCTTTTCTATAAACCTCTCTACACTTTCAACGACCCTTGAACCCCGCAGGCTGAGGCTTCATCTCTCAGACATAAGGATGAAGGTAAAAAGTTTCATCTCAAAAGTCATTTTGTTCATATTCTGAGTGACACGACCATCTAGACCCAGACAGGAGCTGTCAGATTTCTTTTCACTGACCTGAGTGTTGGATCCCTCACAGCAGGCTGCCTCCTGCCACTTACTCTGAGATGTAATGAGTCTGAAAGTGAAACCTTTCTACCTGACTTCCATCCATCAGAGTGTGGGGTTAGAGCTCAGAAAAGTTTGGTATTGATCTGACTTGTAAATCTGACACCAAACACACAGTGGTCTGTGAGCTATGAGCTGCAGAAGTGGATCATTTACAGTAAACTCACTGAGACTCTCAGCTTCTTGAGCTCTGCTGCTAATGACTCTTGGAGCTCTAGTTTCCTCTGCTGCTGTCTCTGTCCTGAATAAAGAGCCCCTCTGTCTATTTCTAGTGACTCTATCCTAGTGGTTTCCATCACACACCACCCCCAACTGATTACCTGCAGGGACTCTGTGGAGAGGTTGATTTATGACTGTGTTCCCGTCATTATATGTGAACTCTTTGTAGCACCACTGCAGCTCTGTGCTTGCTTACAAATAATCTTAGACTGCTGTGATATCACTTTACCCCTGACACACTCAGATATATGTAGAGCATCAGTTTCTGTTTCAGATCTCATTCTGGTTAGCTTTTCCATCCCTGGACCTCAGTGCTAGCAGAGCAGATCTTACACATTCAAACCAGAGGAAAAAAAAAACTAGAACTTTATATAAACATAAAATCAATTAGGAGAAGCAGAGTAATTAAGATAAATGCTCTTTCCTCTTCACTACCTCTCCATTAAAGCGGTTCCTCTGCTGCAAACAGGAGCCTCCAGCTGCAGTGAATTCATGGAGGAGTTAGAGGAGGAGGGAAGATGATTGACAGCTGCTTAAAAAACAACAGGGTGTTGTTTGAACAGCTGGTGTTAGTTTTCAACAGTTCAATAGTCTGTAACAATAAACAACATTTTAATATTAAACCATTTATTAATGAACAAAATCCTCCTGATTAACTTAAAAGGAAGTTCTGCTGGAGTAAGAATCACTTCAAAAAAGATGGAGAGTGACTGTAGTTTAATTCAGATTTACTCTGTGAAACTTCAGAGGATGTACAGATCAGTCAGACTCCATGAGCTGACTCCACAGGATAAAACAGCTGATCTCCTGAGGACGGATCGGCTGATCTCTTCAGGATGGCCTTGTTCACTTTCTTAAATGCTGTCAGAATAAATCCAACACACTGAAAGAATTTCTAGATGAGTCCTCATGAGTCCTCATGAACTTAACTTTTTTTTACACCTTCAAACACTGACATCTCTAAATTTTCAATAAATCAAAAAGCAAATGTAATATTTCTACACTGGTGATAACCTTTGTCTGATCAGAGAGATTCTCTCAGTGCTAATCTGATGATAGCTCATTATTTCACATCAGTGACCCTCAGGCCTCAGGTCATCTGTCAGTCTCAGATCATATTGACTGTTTGACTGACTGTCACTGAGTCTACTAATACAGACAGGAAAATACTGACAGTTTACATGGACAGCATGAGAATGAACAGCTGCCTCTGGCTCAGCGGGTGTCCTCACCCGGCTGCTACTGTTGATAATAACTGAGATAGGTGCTGGAAACAGTGACGTGCTCTGAGGTTTCTGTTTATGCGTAGATGGCCTGAAATGCACCCACAACTTTGTTGGTTTATCACCTGCAGTTATGTCAAGGCTGTTTATTTTGCTTCCAGGAAATATTCACACTCTACGACCACCCTGGAAAAGAGAGACGACACAATGAGGAAATGATCTCGGCTTTGTCCTGCAGTTAACTTTTATTAGACATTGACACACTGAGCTCAGGGAAGTGTTTGCAGAGTGGTGCTCCTCTTGTAACTGTAGAGGAAAAGCCCAGTGAGGCTGAATCAGTCTGTCATGGCTGAGCATTAGCATGCAGCCTGCAGTGAGCTGAGCTGACAGGATGAGAGGCTGAGCCAATAAAACCATGTTTGACAGTGACCGCCGGGTGAAAAGGGAACAATATGCTGCTGGAAGAATCTTTGATGCTCTGTCTCAGTCACCTCACAGCCTTTGTCACAGAGATTGTTGGCCATATAAAAACTGACAATCGACGCAGCTGGGTTTAGAAAAGAGTCAATGATTCATCGTTTTCTACCAAAACCAAGTCTTCTCTCTATCAGTCTCATCTCTTTGTATCATTTTAACTGTTATTCTTTATGGTTTTATACACTCTGAACTGTCCCTGCAGCTTAACCCTCTAACATGCTGGATCACAAAGTGCGGTGAAAATACCCTGTAACCTTTTAAAGCTCCCAACAAAGCATTGTTTTTTATAAAGCCCACAAAACTCAGATCAGCCAACCATCAGAACCACCTGCTGCTGACGACAAACCAATAAGCTACAAAATACAGAGCTACATCATATTGTATATCAGTGATGTGTGGTCAGGGGAGGCAGGAGAGAGAGAGAGAGAGAGAGAGAGAGAAAAAGTAATTAGATGATTATACTTATCTAGTGATTTGCTATTTAAAGGTGTTTTAACTACCCCAGTTTTAGAGTTTTCACATTTACTGGTCAAATACTGAGAAGTTATGTGTGGTGAGGCAGCAGCCAGATGAGTCTCACCATGGATTGTGCAGTGACTCGGTTAACTGTACTGGCATGCTATGAAGTGTGACAGTATTGCTATTTCTCTGTATGTTGTTATTAAAATGTTCAATTTTGCTATATGAACTAAATCTCCACAGTTTAGCTGATGAATACAATGTACAGTGTTTTATGTCAACAATTGTATGCGTGTTATGTGTTTCTTGTGCTGAGCAATCATAAAACGACTGTGAAAAGGCACAAAATGAGTGACGCAGTTCTCCTGCCTCATGGTAGGGGGCACTCATGATCCCAGTGATTCTTCTTGCGACTTCTCGACTGCAGAGTAAGTGACAAGCAAGCTACAATCTTAACAAGTCAAGTGCAGCCATGTGTTTATTGTTTCCTCTCCTCTGTCCTTACTTTCAAAATAGAGGATTATACAAAAGAGGATTAGGGCCACATGAAGAGAAAAAAAATATGACAGGAAGGAGATCAAAGTCGAAATTTTGAGATAAAAAACTGAAATTTCGATATTAAAGTTGACATGAACAAAGTTGAATTTTGGACTAAATCTGGCTTAAATCTCAAAATTTCAACTTTAATCTCGAGATGGGAATTTAAAAATCCCTCTCCTGTAATTACTTTTGTCTCCTCTTGTGGCCCTAATCCTCTTTCGTAGGATTACGTATCTTAGAGACTGTACTGCAGAACTGTGTCAACCTCTCAACGGGATCTTCAACCTGAGTCTGCAGGATGTTTTCCACAGAGCAGGTACCCGCCCCACCTGTATTGTGCCAGTACCAAAAACAAAATGTCCTGCTGAACTCAATGACTACAGACCAGTGGTCCTCACGTCACACATCATGAAAACCCTGGAGCGGCTGATTCTACGACTTCTGAGGTCTGAGGTCAAAGACAAAGTGGACTTCCTGCAGTTTGTATACAAAGAACACATTGGAGTGGATGATGCTGTCCTCTACATGCTTAACCGTGTCCTGTCTCATCTGGAGGAACCTGGGGTTTATGTGAGGATCATGTTCTTCGACTTTTCAAGTGCATTCAACACCATTCGACCCACCATACTCAAAGACAAGCTCACAGAGATGGGAGTGGATCCTTCCTGTGTTTCCTGGATCGCAGATTACCTGACAGGAAGGCCACAGTTTGTCAGGCTGGGGAACTGTGTTTCTGGGACATTAATGAGCAGTACAGGGGCTCCATAAGGGACAGTGCTGGTGCCATTCCTGTTCACATTGTATATGTCAGATTTCAAATACAGCACTGAGTCCTGCTACATCCAGAAATACTCAGATGACACCACTATTGTGGCATGTATCAGAAATGGACAAGAAGCTGAATACAGAGATCTGATAAGAGCCTTCAGTGACTGGAGTCACAAAAACTGCCTCCTCCTCAACACCTCAAAGACAAAGGAGATGGTCATAGACTTCCATAGATCCAAACCCCCTCTTCAGCCAGTGAACACCTGTGGAGTGGACATTGAAATGGTGACATCATATAAATACCTAGGTGTACATCTGGATAATAAGTTTTACTGGTCTAAGAATATAGACTACATCTACAGAAAGGGGCAGAGCCGCCTCTTTTGCCTGAGAAGACTCCGATCAATAGACATCTGTAGTAAGATGCTGCAAATGTTTAACTAGTCTGTGGTGTAGATCTACAGTGTTCTGTTCTACGCTGCAGTCTGCTGGGGAGGAAGCATCAAACACAAAGATGCAAGACGTCTTAACAAACTGGTGAAAACGGCTGGCTCTGTGGTAGGACTCAAGCTGGACTTAGTGGAGGATGTGGTGGAGAGATCTACACTGAGGAAGGTGGAGTCTATTCTTAAGAACATGGATCACCCACTTCACAACACCTTGATGGACCAAAGGACCAATGGTGGTGGACGGCTCCTCTCTCTTCGCTGCAGGACAGAAAGATTTAGAAGATCTTTTGTACCAACAGCCATCAGGCTTTATAACTCTTGTGTAAATAGCAGATAACTTTTAGAGACATATTATGTGAGACAACAAACAATTGAATTTCCCTTCAGGGATTAATAAGGTTCTTCTTGTGTTAAAATCAAACAGTTTTCTAAACTGCACTTTCAATCCAAGCAGGAGGCAATAATTAAAGGAAGATCATTTATACAAGTTATTTATAAGTAAAGGTAAAACCATAATAATGTTTATATATATGTTAAATGCATTTTTTGTGTGCTAGTTTGTATGTGTGAAGACAGCTGATATGAGATTTTAAAAATAATCTTTTAATTGCTGCCTATCAAATGGTGAATAAGCTTCTGTGTAGGGTTCATATGTTTAAGAATCTGATTGTGATGAAGTCAGTGACTTACCAGCCATAAACCTCACCGCACGGTCACTGTTGTATATATATATATTCACAAAGCTACAGCATACCTAATCTACACAGAGCTACAGACACTATATATATGTACGGGCCAGCGCTACAACATACTGTATATTTAAAGAGTTGAAACACACAAGAAGGGAGCTTTACCATGCTGTACCTCCACATTCAGAGCTACAAACACTTTCCATAAAGAGGTATGATAAACTGAGGTTTACAGGTCAGCCATGATGTTTCCAGGTGTCAGGTGTGAGGCATGCTCTTGTGTAAGACTGAACATTCAAGCTCTGACATGTAAATCAGCATCATGTTTTCATGCATCATGCATTGGGCCTCATGTCTTTCTCTGCAGACATTAGTGTGAAAATTTTCTACAAAACACTTCAGTCCCTGGGGAAGAATCTGTATGATCAAAGAGGGAGAAGGAGAAGAGGAGGAGAAGACAGAGACAGGGAAAGGGTTGTTTCAGTTCAAACCTGATTTTATACACTAACAGACTCAGTGTGGTTTGCATTAAAATAGAAAAACCAACAAGAGATTAAAACTGCATCTACATAAAATATTCAATCTCGGACTCATTCCTCACACAGATTGATTAGTTCTAAACAAAACTCACAGAACAGACTCAAAGCTTGTTCAACAACAGAGGAAAGGCATTTTATTTATTGTATTGAATGATTGTCCACACTCAGACTCCTCTGAAGTCTTTATCAAACTGTTGTTGAACCTGAAGGATTCACTAACAGTAAAATATACTCTCCCAGTCTTCATTATGTCTGTGAACCAGGTCTGTGTTCAAAGCTGAGTCCACAGCTCTGCTCCATGGTCATAAAGTCTCCCTAAAGTGGAGTAATCTGGAAAAAGTGCTTCTCTCAGTGACCCCGGTGCCATCAGGTCCAGACAGATTCTGCAAGAATAAAAGTTATGAGACACTTTCTGCCAGCAGAGGCTGATAAAACAGTAACAGGACAGAGACAGACCTGCAGGATGGTGATAGCTTTACAGAGTGATGAAGTGTCAGCCTGACTGTCTCTGAGAGTCTCAAACCAACAATCAGATCCTCTCCTTCCTCTGTCTTGGAGGTCATATGAACACATGCTGACCTCAGGAGTACACTGACCCACAGAAAAACAACAAAACTGTGAGACAGACTCATATCCAGTACAGCCTATACTAGTCTCTCACACAGAAGAAAATTTAAGGGTCATTCATTTATTTCATTGAGAGTTACTTTACCCAGAGACAAAACAGAGAGATAGTGTAAAAAAAGTGAGCAGACTTCGCTTTCCTCCTCTGTTCTGATTTTCATGAATTTCTCTGACCTTCTGCTGTCCAACATGAACTCTGCCAACGAAAAGAGGCAGCAGATGGTTCACAGCCAGACTCTTGTCCTTTATGCTGCATGACTGTACACACACACACAGACACACAGACACACACACACACACACACACACACACACACACACACACACGGAGTCCTTAAAGGTGCAGTAATGTTCTGGTAATGGAAGAGATGATTAAAATGAAAAACAAACACACCCACTCCTGAAAAACACTGTCCTCCAAACTCCTGGAGGTGAGCCAATAAACAAAACAAGACACTAAATGAACAAACATAAACAAAGATAAACAAAGATGAACAAAAAGATGTATGCGTCTCTCAGAAAGAGTGAAGAGGGTGAACTCTAATGAGAGAGCCAGCCCTGATGTTTCATCTCTGTGAGTCTCTGCATGTGTAAAATCTAACCACTTACACAGTCAAAGCTCATTTGAAATCATAAACAGGAAATAACAAGCTGCTGTGATGCATCTGAGTGACACTAAATTTACTGCTGAGCAGGTAACCAATGAACTCTGAAAACAAGAGAGGAACAACAAAAAAACAAACACACCATGAATAGAGTCGAAACAGCTTAGTACAACTTTAGTGACTTATAACTAAAGGTTAACTGAAAGTTAAGTAAACTATAACTAAACATACACTTTTACTGAAGGTATACCATAACTAAAGTGAAGTATAACTGGGCTCTCGGGACCTAGGTGTTACTACATTCTGCTCCAGGTGAGCCTTCAGTTTAGTTCTCCTTTCTCTGTGTCCGAGCTTTAATGCTAAGTTCTTCATGTCATATATTCAGCAGAATCTCTGAGGAGTTACAGTTTAATCTCCAGAGTTACAAAATATAAATACATATCTGCATGTCTGATCTGAGTTCTTTCCACTCATCAGTTATTTAAATCACGCCTCTTATAAGTGAATTTGTGTTAATGGAGTCAGAACGCAGCGTGCTCCATATCAACATCTTTTTAATCCTGCTGATTAGATGACTAATTCATGACTGATTACTCTCCCTCTCTGGGTTTCTGACACTCTCACCTGCAGTATGTAGGGAAATAATTCAGGGTGAATATAATCTGCCCCCTGCTGTGCAGTGAAACACAAACTGCAGCTCCTATTGAATACACACCTTCACAGTAATGAGATAAAAACAGATAAATATTACAGCTTTAGAAAAATGCTGAAGGACAGCAGATCACTCTGGTTATAACCTGAGCTGTACATTATAGATTTTTCAATAAAGATACTTCAGTTCATTAGTCTAACACTGATACATCCATAATTATCTTTATTGAAATGGAAAAAGCGAAGTGTGTATTATCTTTACTGGATAACTGGGAGGTCTATAACAACTAATCTCTTTAACTGAGCCGCTCAAACATCTCATTAGTGCTTTGTGAGTTCATTCAGGGAGATGTGATGGGATTTAAACTCCAAACACAGTCAGTGTTTCCATCTCTCTGCAGGACCTCAGAGTAATTTGTTCTCATTAATTAGACAAATCCTGCTGGAGAGAGAGAGAGAGCATCATGTTATCCTGTAAAACACCACCATACAAAGAGCTGCTGCTGACATGGGGAGCTGAAGGAGGAGCTCATGAGTATAATAATAATAATGTTAATAATAATTATAATAATAATGTTAATGATAATAATAATAATAATAATAATAATAATAATAATAATAATAATAATAATAATCATTATCATTATCATTATTATTATTATTATTATTATTATTGTTGTTGTTGTTGTTGTTGTTGTTGTTGTTGTTATTATTATCAGTAGTAGTAGTAGTAGTAGTAGTATTATTGATCCTAAACAAGCTGGACAAGTATCTCTGGTGCACAGTCTGTGAGGTTTTATGTTATTACATTTATATACACATTCATAAAAGTTTGCTGTAAATATAGATTCCAATATTAATTTAGCCTTAGTGTAAATATGCACTTACTATTGAGTTTTGTTTCACTGTTTGCTTATGATAGAAACCAGAGGGGAATATATTAGCTTTTTCAAAAATAGCAACCAGAAAGTCAGCTAAATAATTATACATCATGTTAAATCTTCCTCACTTTGTAAAATAATCACTGTCACTATTAATGTTTCTTTTCTACTGATACTTTGAGACGCAGAAGACAAGCGTTGATGATTTTTAAGTGTTAAAGAGAAAGGTGGAGGTCAAGCTGTAAATCTGCAGTAAAAGAACGTCAGCATCTGAGACCTTACAGGTGGATCAATTTCAGATGAGTTCATTTACATTCTGCTCTTTGTCTCAGCTCATTAGTATTTCAGACTGAGAGCAGAGGGTGTGTTCATTATCCAGGCGGCAGGAACACTAAGACACAAAAAGAAAAGAAACAGGTTCAGAGAAATATGAAATAACTGAGAAATTGAGTCTGTGTCACAGAGTGAAGACATTATTCAGTGTTTAAGAGAGTTACAAACCTGACCTACATATTAGAGAGGAAATATAATACCTAAATAAACACATACCAGCACTAGTTTTCATGTCATCTATTTTCACATACTGACTGCTGATAATATTGTGTTTATTTACAGGAGATATGAAAGAGTAAAAAAGGAGATATATGAAGGAGATATAAAGATGGTACGAAGGAGAAACGAACGAGATACAAATGAGACAAAATATAGGGTATGCGGAAGACATGAAGGGGATGTAAAGGAAATATAAAAGGAGATGTGAAAGAAATATGAAGTTAACATAAGTGACAGATTAAAAAAGAAGATATGAAGGAGACATAAAGGACTTTTAAACAGACAAAAAGAAGACATGAAGGCATGATAAAGAAAATTTGAAGGTGACAGAAAGAAGATACAAAGGGGATGTAAAGAGGCATGAAGAACATATGAAGGAGAAAAAATAGGAGATATAAAGGAGACAAAAAGATGACATAAAGAAGTGAAGGAAACAAAAAGGACACATGATGGAGATATGAATGAGACATAAGGGAGATAAAAATAAAAAGGGAGATATGAAGGAGAATTTGTGGCGAATACAAACAATATATAAGGGAGACAGAAAGGAGACATGAAGGAGGCATCAGGAGTAAACAAAAAGGAGATATGCAGGTGATATATGAAAGACAAGAAGAGATGAAGTCAACATTAGGAGATACAAAGAAGACATAAAGGACAAGTGAAGGACACAAAGGGACAGAGTCTGTGTGTCAGTTCACCCCGAACTGTTTATAAAATCTGAAGTAATAACTGACTCAACAGAGAGCCATCAAGTTTCATTTCTGGTGACATGAAGAGTCTGTTACTGACACATCATAGCTCTCCACAGAGTCAGCTTGAAATCAGACTGATTTTCACTCTGATCACACACACAGTCACACACAGTCACACACACACACACACACACACACACACAGAGAGAGAGAGAGAGAGAGAGAGAGAGTCACAGAGTACATCTCCACTGGAAGTTTCTTTGGTAAATTTGCATACAAAGAACAGTCGCTGATTATCAAGATTATTCAAGAAGAATTGTGGGATGAGGACGAGCTTTGCTCTCGGGTTGCTGAGTTTGGTCTATGTTTGTTCATTTTATCCTCACTGTATTTCATTTCTTTAGCTCTTCCAGACCACCTCATCGTCCAAAAACAACAGAGATCTGCAGCAGACAGAAATGGCTTTGGTGCACTGAGGCAAAAAAAGGATCCTAAAACAACAAACATTACCCCTGATGCCACAACAAAGCCATAACCAAAGGTTCAGTGACGTCAATATTACACCTCACCTGTATACCAAGTGTGTACAGATATGTGTACCTGTCTTCCAAAACAAGGACGTTTTCCTCCTCCTTTCCCACTCCTCCAAGCAGAAAGGAAGAACTAATGAGATTCTGTAAACAGGAGGCTCAGCCCGAAAACCATTGTGCACAGTTTGACCATCATAGAACTGAGTTTATCGCCATATTACAGTTAAATTTCATTGTTGCCCCCTGTGACATGTAGACAAACATCATTTTTAAAACTGCTGAGCTGACCATCATTAAATCAGAGCTACACTGAATATTTTTCATTTCATTCATAGTAAAGATCCCATAAACAGCTATTACTGTTGACACCTGAGTGTTGACTGTCCAATCACTCTTTACTCCTCTGGTACCTGCTGTTTTAAAAGATGATTTGATTTATATTTCATGATGTTTCTCTGATTTGTTTTCTCGCTTGGCCATAAAGTTTCAATTGAATGAATCAGTGCTGATAAATCATCAGGCAGCCCTTGTTAGATGAAGACAGAGTAGGAGGATCAGAGAGCTGTGATTGCTGTGATACAAAACAGATGAAGGGCTCTTACAGACTGTTAGCAGAGTGGGAGCATAATGTTTCCTTCATTGGGAGCAAACAGAGCACTGAAAAAACTGAACTCAATGACTGAAGCTGAGACCGCTCACACACAGGGACTGTAAGGATTCACATGTTCACAGCAAGGTGTAAATAACTATTTTATATCATGAAAAAAAACAGGGTTTTACCAGACCACATGGTAAATGTGTCACCTGATGGCATCTTTGATATGAAGTCAGAAAGTTTCCTGTTACTTATTTCACAGTCACAGAGCAAAAGAGAAGCTCAGAGGTGGACTTTGACTCAGCCTTCAAGTTGCACACCCCTGCTGTTCAGACTCGTGATCAAAGGGTTATATAAAGGTGTTTCATTTCCAGATTCACAGCAAAGTTGGGCCTTACATGAGCTGATCAAAAACCTCCACAATCAGGCTTGACAGGAGCTTAAGCTGTGACTGAAAGACAGAAATAACACAGCCTTCACGCCATTGTTCATGTCTTTCTATCTGCTGAGTAAGAACACAGAGTGAGGGCAGGGTCTTACTGAGAGCTCCATGGTGCCTCACATTTCAAGGAGGTTAAACATCTGATGGTTAATAGTAAACTGGCAAGGTTTATATAGTTCTCACTTTAGCCTTCTGACTGACCAAAAGCCTTTCATTTACATGTTACATTCACTCATTTACATTGAATTTAAACACTGGTGGCAGAGGATGCTCTTGTCATAAACTACCCTAACTGCTGTGCCTAGCCAGCCAGAAGCAGCTTAGAGTAAAGTGACTAAAGTCTTGGCATACGACAGCAGGACCTAAGATCAAATCCTGGGGCCTGTTCTACGAAGCAGGTTCAACCTAGCTAGGTAGCCTTGGAGCTACCTCGCTCAATTTAGCGTGGTAGCCAGCGGTCTCGCTAAGCGGTTTTACGACGCTGGTTATCAACCTCATAAGTGGATCCAGCTCTGCTATCAGCGCGTGCACACATATAAGGCGGAGCCCGCCGCATCTGACCAATCGCGAACATGGATCAGTCTGGAGCGTCAGAGCAGGCTGGAGAGTGAAGGACCGCAGACTTTACAAACGAGGAACAGGAGACGATCATGAGAAAGTGTGAAGAATTGAAAGCTATCACAAACCTCAGAAGCAACACCGTCGCCGCTGCAAAATCACGGAGGGAAGGCTGGCAGAAAAGTAATCTTTGATGCCATTATCACCCTGAAATAGCACTGTTCAACATGCGCTTTTAACTAAAGTGACAGTCCCCGAATTGGATGATCTGTCCCCGGCTAAAGCTGTCCCCGAAAATGTCCCTGATTTAAGCGTTTAATGAATGAGAACAAAAATGTTGCATGTGGGCAAGAACAACGGTTGTTACAGTGGGTAGGAAGCACAAGTAAGCAGTCCTGAACAACAGTATTTACGGGGTTATTATAAGGGGCGTGCGCTGCTACTAAATAGTACCGAGATGTTGATCGCGCAGCCCATGCCCATTCATTCCCAAGATGAATCATTCATTTGTTCATTCCTATCGTGTTTACATGTTTTGTGTAATATGTCGGCCATATAAGCCTTTCATAAAGGTGGTCATCCGGAGAAAACTCTCCTTGTAAACTCTCGCGAGCCGGAGTGCTCCTCGGACAATGCGAGCACCGAGGTGTATAGGATCCTCCAAGAACGGACAAGCCGTTTTTCGGAGAAGGGTGTCTCTGCAGAGCCGGAGAGCCCTGCAGTTTCACACGCTGCAGTTCTACGCGTGTAAAACTGCAGGAGGCGGAGTCTCGAAATCATGTAACCGCCCCCTTTTTTTCTCCTCTTCGTTTTCGTGTTCTTTGGAGAAGAGTTGTCAATAGTATGCAATGGTCTGTAGCGGAGTTTGTTGATTGAACCGTGAGTATTAAATGTGAATCCCACAATTTATTTAGCGTCTCCAAAATCGTTCACTTGATTTGAATGAGAAATGAATGTGTGGTTGTGCGGACGTTAATGATATTTACCATGATAGTCTGGAAGACACGTCGAATATTTAAATTGGTTAAGCCAGCTAAAGCTATTGTTAGCTTGTCGGAATTGTATAACCCGTAGACGACAAGCCGCCATTATATTTACTGAGACTGAAGTACGCTGACAAATAATTTTAGCATGTGTATCAGATTGAACATAAAAAATGTATAAACAGTTTAGGCTTTCTGAACCGAGATGTCCCATACATGTTGGAAATGTCTTTTGAACGTATGCATTTTTTCGTATATTATATCAGGTATTTTTTAGTATATCATTTATTTATTTAATTAATTATTTTCAATTGTATGCATATCATATGTAATTGACATTTAGTCCACATTTCTCTTTCATATGAATTAGGTTTCTGTCTATGTATACAAAATCTTATCCAAACGATTTCATGCGTCTAATTATGATCTCTGTTTTTAAGATGCATAATACAATTCAACAAGGGCGAACACTGCCTGAACTGGTCTGTTGCCAGACTTGCTGCAGGCAGTACCACTGCCCATTCTGCTCGCCTGAGGTGTGTAAGCCGACCAGTTTAAGGCACATTCAAATTCATTTGGACCACCATTTTTACCGCGTTGTCAGCTATGAAGGTATGTTGGAGAACATTATCCTGGGATATGTGTACAGTATGTAGTTATCGAGTTGCTACTGCAACTTCATTATCCAACAATTAATCAAATAGTCTTTTATTAATTGATTATGTAATTATGTACCATTTAGTTTCTTATCCTTGATTCATATTTTGAGTTGATGTAATAATAAATAAATAAAAATACATGCACTAAATTCTATGTTCTTATGTTTAAGGTTACACCATTCACAGATGTGGCCTTGGCTGTAGGAAGCAGCTACATTATCACTGTCTCAAGTGCAATAACACCATTTTGCGCAGAGCAGATTTCGAGGGACATCTGAAATCTAGCATGAATCGCGCCTCCACGTCCTCCACCCCAGCCCCGTCGGCCTCCACAGCAGCCTCGCCGTCCTCCACCCCAGCCCCGTTGGCCTCCACAGCAGCCCAGTCAGCCTCCACCCCAGCCTCGCCGTCCTCCACAGCAGCCCCGTCAGCCTCCACAGCAGCCTCGCCGTCCTCCACAGCAGCCCCGTCAGCCTCCACAGCAGCCTCGCCGTCCTCCACAGCAGCCCCGTCAGCCTCCACCCCAGCCCCGTCGGCCTCCACAGCCACACCGTCCCTGGCCCCAGGTGGAGCTTTGAAAAAGGTCCGCATGAGGCCAGTGCTGAAAAAACAATGCCCTATTTGCCACCTCTCGATGAACATTAGAAATCTGAAGAGGCACATTGAAAGAATGCACACCAGAAAAAAGATGGACATAACCGCTACCCACCACCTACACAGTGAATGCATAGATCCAGAAAACGGGATCTATTCAGTCCAAAAATCATTTTTAGGGAAAAGTAAGCCCCTCCATGTACAAAACAAGGTATGGGGGGATGATCACCATGTTCCCTGTGAATCAGATGACTGCCAGGTAAACAAGGAGTTGGCATGGAGGAGTGGTTTGAAAGCCTTCCAATGCGAACGTGTGAAATCCATCACCTACTGTTCAGTATATCATACCTGTCCTACACTCCAGGAAGGCACCCTCTCAGACATGGTCAAAACAAAGTGGTCACAGAGGAAGTACTGCATCCAGTCGATCATGAACCAAGGAGGCATCTAATTCCTGAGGAAATGCTGTGCCAGCACTGTCCAGGCAATGTGCCATTGAGTGACCCAGTGACTTCAAGGGAAGCCCTCACACTGGACAAAACTGGAGTCGTCAGTCAAGGTGCCTGTGTACCTTGACAGCAGTGACAACCAGGACCGTCTTTTTAATTTTTTGTTTTCAGTGCTGCAGAGAACAAACACACAACTGTCCTTCAGTGATCCCATCAAGTTCATCATGGATGTTCTTTTTCCAGAGGTATTTCAAGCCCAGTTCTTTTGTTTTCCATCACTTTCAACCTATAATGGCCTTCTGCTTTACATAGGCATGTATTTTTGTAAAATTAACGATTCTCTTTTTAAAGGCCATCACATATGGCCTGTCTGCACTCCACAACCTCTCCATGCAGGAAGCTGAGGAGGTCTTCCATTCTGGTCCGCCAATTCATCAGAGGTAAAAAAATAATAAAACATAACACAAATTAGCTGAAATCCTTACTATAACTAAGAAATTGTAAATTCTTCAATTTACAATTTCAGGTCTTTCAGTTTTTTCTTTCAGCTTTTTCAGTTTCAAATATTAATTTACCCAGCATTGATTATTTTCATTTCCTATTGTAGTGAAGTGGAAGAATTCTGTCGGTCAATTGAAAAGAAAATGAAGAGGGAAGGAAACCTCTGAATGGTATGTAGAGCTGTTACATACTTCACAATCTGGGCTTTAAATATCTAAGTCAAATGTCAAACATTTTATTTCTATCATGTATCTTTCTTTCAGGACTCATCCATCCTGATAATTCACATGAGGCTGCACAAGTCCTGCAACAAAATCCTCAATTTGTTAATAAAAAAATATGTTTACTACAAGATGTGTTGTTTGTTTCTGAAGTGATTATGGTATGTTTTTGACCAATTTTACAAGGTTTAGCATGTTTCTATGATATTAGGATAACATCATGACTCCATTCAATGCTATAGAAAGATAATTAACTACTCTAATAATGAGAGAAAAGAACTTGCCCCCATCAAGGGACTTCAAACCTGCATTCCATATGAATTTAGACTCTTGTGATGGTTGTCTCCCATTTCCTGATGCTGCCTTTCAGACATGGCTCCATCTTCCTCCTGTTTCTCCCAACAACCACTCAAGTCACAAAGAACTGCTCTTTGCCTTAAGATTAAAACACTTAGCCACTTTGACAAAAGGCTAATTCTTGGTGGCTTTATGATCAAAGGCTTCTCCATGGCGACAGCCTTTTTGCACAGCTTTGTTCTTGATAGAAGACATTTTTTTGTAGACGTTAAGAGCCAATCATATTTTTTTTGTTGATCACCACAAAGAATTACCTGGAATGACAATACTATGAAATTTTCACTCAAAGGGGTCAAATTGTCATCAAATGTGATGAATAAATAATAAAAAGGCAAAGCCGGTCCCTACAGGGCTTCAAGCACTGCACAGCTTGCTTTGGCTCGGGCATTTAAAACACCGGGTCCAGAAATAAATATTTTTTTTATTACATTGAAATTAGATTACTCCTAACTCCTAACATTTTATCCATGTAAAGAAGTCCAATTACTGAACTGCAGCACCTGCATTAGCACTGACCTACCAGCATGGGGCGCTATCACGTGTAGAACTGCAGCATCTGCATTAGCACTGACCTACCAGCAGGGGCGCTAACACGTGTAGAACTGCAGCGTGTAAAACTGCAGCGTGTGAAACTGCAGGGCTCTCCGGCTCTGCAGACACATACTATTGGTTTTTCGAGAGAGCTCATTGGTCAGTGGTCAGTTATACTCTTTGAGTTCAATCTGGAATTTAACCTGCCCCGGAGCAGGTTAGCCGTTCAGCATATATTGCTATGGAGACTCGCCTCGCTAAGAATTGAACCCGCGTCGTAGAACAGGAAATCCCGAACTTACCCTCGAAGTTATCTCGCTAAGCAGTAATCCTGCTTCGTAGAACAGGCCCCAGGACCTTCAAAGTAGGATAACTCCACCAATCAGCCTGAAAATGGTATGAGGAGGAGGCTCGCAGAGTGAACATCAGGATAAACATTTGCTAAAGTGGCCAACAGCAACACAAATATGTAATAATTAGCAACATGGACAGAGACAGAGCAGTTTCAGCACCATGGAAATTGATGATAAAGTTTCACCTCAATGGACAGTGACTGTATTTCAGCACCATGGACAGAGTCAGAGCAGTATCAAAAGTAGGGACATGCAAAGATATATGAAGATGCTAGATTAGGGGCTAATCCCAATTGTCACTCTTTCCCCTTCCCCTTCGTCTTACCCCTTTGTCTACCCCATTCCCCTTGGCCCTCTGTTTTATGGGCCAAGGGCTAAGGGCCAAACAAGTGTTATTACTATGATAATCTTACCCCTAGCTGTTAAATGAGGTCCCAGTTTGTATTTGTTTGTACCCCTTGTGTACCCCTTGCCCTTAGCCCTTCACCTTATGGAGCATTGGGACACCCCTTCGCTTGATGCGAACATGTAAAACCGAGGGCTAAGGGATACAATTGGGATTGGCCCTAAATTTGATTGCAGCATTTTCCTGCCAGCTGCATACTTCTTTGCCATGCCTAAAAAGTGTGACTGCTAGAATGACTGAATCTCTAGCTAATAAGTGATACTTTATTAAGTCCACACTATTGTACAATAACCCAGAAAGGGGCTACATTTGTAAGAAATATATAAAAACTGACAGAAAGTAGGCTACACTCTCTGTTAGGCTTTTTTGATATTTGGTTATGCATTGCTTTGAGGGAAATAATTATATATAATTCATTCAACAGTTTGTCAAAAGTTGTTCTGTGTTCGGGGATTGTAAAATGTATTTGCATAGCTCTGCCAAAATCTCTTAAAATTCTCTCCAACTTTCAAGGTTAGACTTACAATAACATTATTTGTAAAATGTTCATTTGTTTTGGCATCTGTGTGTTTCCAAACACACAAAAAAAACCTGTTATTAACCTGTTGGTCTACTACTCTGATTTACATCAGGTAAAGTTGCAATACAACAGACAAATATACATCATGGTTAACTGTCAGATTTTTATGTCTCGTCTTTGCAGAAGAGAAGAACAGAAATCCCAGAATCCTAATAGCTCTAGCTGTAAAGGTGTGCCTCTGTGAAGATTTGTTGCCAGCTCTGGAGAAGTTTTTATCACAGTTTTTTGTTTTTTTTTTCTTCCCTGTCATAGCAGTAAACCCGCAGGTGTAATGAGAAACATTAACAAGGTGTCTTTTCCCATGTGGTGTCTCATTAAGTATTGAGTTAGCACACACTCTGGAATAGATGGAAATTAATGAGAAAGCCATTGTTAGTGTGATTAATTAGACCTGATACTTTCACAGTCTGTCTTCTCACAGTCAACCTCTGAAAGCTCTGAACCACATCTGATATAATCACCAGTATGTGCTGTGAGCTCATTCAAAACATATCTCAACAAAAATAAGTGTCTTTTACCTCTTTTGAAATCTTCTCTTCTCATTGAAAAACTTGTTAAGGAATCATTGACATATTTGTCGAACCTTTATGGAACTCATTCAATCTATCTTTTTTATAAAGCGAACACGCTGACTTATTTCAGTGTTTCCTTTTTGTTAATTTTTTTTTTCTTCTGCATCCTGGTTTTATTTGTTCTTCTCTCATATTTTTCCACATCATGTCAGGAGACTGCAGGGGACCAAACCTAAATAAACCTTTTTTGTTTTCTTCCTCCATATTTGATGTGATCTCTATGATTGACAGCTTCTGCTTGATCGATTTTTATCATAAAGTTGTAATCATAAAGCATCATTTATTCACTCTTCAAAGTGTAAAATACTACCAAAGACTAAAATTGTATTAATGTATTAATTAATTTGTTCAATCTGTGAATGAAAATGAAGTGAGAAGCCCAGCTGCAGTCTTTGGTGCAGTCTATCCCAGCCCCCCACTGAGCCACTGAGCTGAAGTTATTCAGATAACTATAATCAGGAAACAGCTCAATAAAAGAGCTGCTCAGTCAGCCTTACTAATGTTTGAATCGGAAATAAATGGTGCACATTATAGCTTTGAATCCAATATCTTATAATCAGAGAGATTTGATAATAGCAGACATTAATAGTCCGCAGTCCCTGTAAGAGAAACATAATCATTTCTACGCTGTGACTGAAAGCTGAGGACACGTTCAGATGGTTTCAGTTTGTGTTTTTTTTTTAGAGGTAATTTAATTATTTCAGGCGTTCTGTGTTTTCTTTAAATACAGAGGATAATACATACTAATGCTGGTTTTAAATACAACTTTACTAAAGCGAGCTTATTCTTTGGTAGTCAGGTTTTAATGCAAGAGTACAGTTTGTGTTTTCAGTTGTAGTTTTCTGTCTCACCCTGTGCAGAATAAACAGAAATCTGTGAATGTGCTTTTAAACAGTTATACCACTCTCTGCTCAGACAGATCTGTAATAGACTGTGTGATGTGCAGGGTTGTGTGAGTATTTTGTGTCAAACTGTTATGTCTAATGAGTATGGAGCAGCATTTGATAATGTGAAGTTTAACAAATGAAAGTTAAGCTCAAAGGTGGAAAACTGCATTGCTATGCAAGTCAGGGCGTAAGAAAATACACACACTACACTTCCCTTATTCTCTTCCAAATGTCTGAGAAGGCTCTGTGAATATCAGAGGAGGAAAGGGGAACTCAAAGTTTTCACCTCTTTATCACCCCACTCTCATTATCAGTAAAATCCACCCACGATAACTCTGCTGCTGCTCTGAGTTCCCCTTCACCATGAGGTGACTACAGAGACAAACTGAAGAGAAGCAGAGGATGATAACTTTCACCTCTGAACTGATGATGAGCTAGTAAACAGTTCTTCATTACACGGACTGTCCGACTGTAGTCTTCACACAAAGTCCAGTCTCTCTGACTCTGAATGGCTCACACTTTTAGATTGGATCAAAACAAACACTGAGAAGAAGAACAAGACTGGAGTCTGGAGATGGAGACATAAAATTAAAATATTATAAAACATCTATTATATGGCATAGTAAACAGCTTATCTTTGGACTGAATTTCTCAGAGCAGATGTCAGACAGGGGAGGATGTAAAACCAATCTTTTATAAACCAAATTATATACAGAAATAAATCATACAGAAACATACTAATAAACCACTGTATTACTTGATAAGAACATAAAAAATCGCACAGTAAACAGTTTTCCTTCTCCGGAGATCCTGTTGGTGCTCTCACTGAAACTTGAGTCTTTGCATCCATCGTCAGTTTATAATTCAGATCATGGTCTAGAAGAAGAAGAAGAAAACAGACTTTAATGCAGGTATAATCCAGCATCACTTCCTGTCCTTTCCCTCCAGTCAGCAGCAGGTGGATTGTCAGATAGAGCTGTAAGGATTTGGATCTTTCCAGGATAACAGAGGAACAGACAGAGAGCAAAGAGGCTGAAAATCAGTCCATTTACCAACAGGTGAGACAGCTGACAAACACAGCATGGACTCTGACAGTGAAATACATGCAGCTGTGCTTCACAGCTGCAACTTTTACAGGTAAAATTTGCAGAAAATCTCATTCTCTCCTTGAGCAGTTTTTATTGTTTTTTTGGGAAGAAGAAACAACAATGGTGGCAAAACAGAGTTGCTCATTTCTAAAACAGCACCAACAGGTGGGCAGTGTCACATCCCTCTGATCTACTGATAAAAAGAGGAGAATAGCTGCAGTGTGAAAGAAAAGGCAGATTTACTCCAGTTAAAAACGTCTGTATATGCAGCCATCCAAGGAAATCTCTGGAGGTGTCTTTGAAATGAGCTCTGCTCTCTGTGGGCTGAAGTATCCAACACTCAATGTGTTTTCAAGAGGCTCTTCACTTCATACAGACAGATGTGTGAACTCTGAGTCTGCAGCTTAAAAATCCTCTCTAATGTTCAGCTTTATGTCAAGGATTCAAAACAAATCAGACATGGACCAATCAGAGAAGTTCTGTGCAGCAGCAACATCTAAAGCTGAGCTACCAAGACTGGAGACTTTGAGCAGTTTGACTTGTTTAGCATGCAATCATGACATAATGATTTCAAAGTAAGATGATGCATATATCTGAGTGTTTCACTCCATGAGGATCACTATGAAGAAGTGGAGGAAAACAGCATCAGTCATGAGGAACTAGTGAAAGTGAGGTACAGTTAAAAACAAATTTATCAACTCTCCTTCTCCTCAGTGTCTTTATTCAACAGCAAACACTCAGGCAGACTTTCTCTCCATAAATGATGTATACCTCACTAAAAGGCCATTTTCTCTTTGTGGATCTGTTTCTCTGTCCAACATAAGACTGATCTTCTTCATTCCCAGCCAACAGAGCAGTGGAGTCTTAAAAATGAGCATCAGCATGTTTTCAGACTGAACTGTACCAGAAACTCAAGCAGCTAGAGCCGATTTACATCCAGATAACCCAGAAGAGTCACAGCCTCTGACCGAGCTCACATGTTATTACATGAACCTGTGAGGCTGAACAAATTACCTCTGATGCTCACCGTCTAATCAGAGACTCTGAAAGAGAGGAGAGAGAGCAGATCAGAGACTAGTACTGGACTATCTAAACCAACCAGAGAGCTCGGGGTTCTTTCTGCTCAATACATTCAGCTCCAACCATCACTAAACACTCCAAACCAGGGTGATCGACCTGATAACGTAACGCCCCATTACTACAGGCTCCAATCAAGCCAACACTTCAATGCATAAGGGGTTCATGAGGTTACCCGCTTAGCTCTGCAGGATTCAAAAAGCTAACAAGCTCATCAGAACAGTGAAGAATGAACTCTGGTCATTCCTTTGCTTCTTATTTTTGCCGTATCCTGCCTCATTGGCTGGTATTTTTCCAGACAGACATTGCTGTAAGACCTTAAGATGGAGAAAATGACACTGACTTATCAAACTTCTATCAGGTATTTTATGTGATACGAACTCCGGCTTCTCAGCAAATGTGCAGAGAGAATGGAGCAATATTCATTTCATGGTTCAGACTCCAAATGTCCCTTTTTGTCTTTAAGGCAGAAGACACGAGCAAACACAGAGACATCAGACACACAGAGAGACATTAGCCTAATGAGGCATTCACAGTCCAAATATTAGAGTCCATGAAACCTCCTCCACTGTGTACCGCTGTTATGACACTTTTATCGCAGTTATGCAGAAATAGACTGAGTCACTTTAAAGTCAACTTTGATACAATGAAGAGAAACTAAAGAGCAGAAAAGAAAGACATAGACCTACTTTTGAGGATATAAACTACTCTCAATAAGGACTTGACTTATCAAAATTATCTAAAGTGGCACATTTACCTTTACAATAAGGTGTAAACAAGACAAAATCCCTGCTAGTTCAGGCTAATATGAGGTCAAATTATCAACTGTATTCAACACACACCTTATCCTCAAACGACTAATCTGCTGAACAAAAGAAAGAGAGCCCATTGATTTACAGCAGGTTTAATATGATGCAATAACTGGTAACAGCTAATGAGAATTCCACATCACACTGAAAAGTTTTTGGTCTTCAAAGTTGAAGGTCAGAGGGAGGAAAACTTTAACAGAAGTGTAATAAAGCCTCTAATGTCTCCTGATGAAAAGCTAGAGGCTAAAACTTCATCGCCCTACGCCTTCCAGATGAGCTGGCAGTGGCTCGTGATAAAGTGGGAAAACTAATGACAGCCCACCAACGAGTCCGCCCCCCCGGAGTTTCCAACAATGATAAAAGAAGCAACAGAGAGACAAAGAAAGAAAGAGGAGAAGTGATAGAAAGATGGTACATGAGGTCATACTCTGTGTACGGTAACATCCCCTTAGTGATGTTGCCATGGTGATATTTCAATAATGGCGGATTTAAGCTGAGTTTAAAGTTATCTGGTGGGTTTGCACAAAAACATGTTTGAACTTTAAATCTTCACTGTGTTTTGATCAGGGTTTATGAGGAGAAGTTTCTGTGGAAACTGGCATGTGCAGATTCTGTAAAAAACAGTGAACTCAGACCCTTTTTTGTATACGCTTTCACCAAATCCAGTCAAATACTTGGTTGTGATTACTCTGTCAAATAAGGCCTCCATGCGCAGGTTCATGGAGGTCAGTAGTTTTTCATTAAAAAGTTTTACTGCCATCTGATGGCCTGGCAGTGCACATTCCAGCATTTTCAGTCGTTTTTGCAGATCAGTGTGCAGACTGATTGTTTCCAAATGTTGGCATATTTTGAAGATTTTTTGACAGGCAAAGAAAAGACCCTCGGTGTATATTTCCTCTTCCATAACCCTAAGGAGAATCTTCCTTAAATAGATAATGAGATCTTTCTACCTGCTGGTTAACTCACCTCAACCTAACCTGTCCAGTCCTGGATGTGATGCTGTAAAGGTGTTGGTCGCTTTTCTACTTTAGCATCCTTTTAGCTCTCAGACTACTGTCATTGCACTCAAATCCTACAAAAAGTGCTTTTTGACCAGAACCACCCAGAACTTGCAGTTCCAGGGACTTCTCTTTAAGGATCTAGGTGGTTCTCGTGGTCCTGTTGTTGTCTGCATTTCCACAGGGGCCTGAAAGGGAGATTTCGGCGTAAATTTAAGTTTTGGTCAAACACACTGTAACACAGAGTTAGACAGGGTCCTAGAACGTAGTACTAGCCACCAAACATCTTTTAGGCTTTGTCTGGTTTCTTCAACAAAGATACCAAACACAATTCACCCACTCTCCTCCACTTGTTTATGGGGGAGCCCTGACAAGTTGATCATCGAGTGCAGCGGAGTTCCGCAGCTCAAGGAAGAACATTTATGATCATCACTTCATGGAAATGCAATCAAAGTTCTTGTGTGTCTTGTACTTGCACTTCCAACTTGGTAGTTCTTCTGCCTTAACGTCTCAGAGACGTCGACTGCTGTCTATTGCTATTGTGTGGTCTTTCCTGAAGTTGGTTTAACTACAGAAGCAAGCAGTCGGCAACATTCATCTCTTGAGGGGGGGTCTAACTCGGTGTTACGGTGTGTTTGACCATAACTTAAATTTATGCCGAAATATCCTTTGAAGTCCTGGGTAAATGATGCAAATCAGGCCAATGGCATCTGGGGTTGGTGTTAGGTAATTTATTTGCACAGCTCTTTGTTTGATATGTTTGCAGATGAGACCATATCCCAAAAACTATTATAATGACCAGAGCATCCTTGAGATGGAATAATTATATAAACAGAGTCAAAATTAACATTAATATTCAGTCTTGTATGATATAATCCAGAACCCATAGTGTCTTTCTGTCTCCTGGGTTCCTCTGTAAGAAGAACAGCTGGTCTATAACACTCTTTCAGAAGGACTTGGGGTCTTTGGCGCTCAGTATGTTGTCAGTTTCCAGGAAGGGTAATAGCAGTAACTAACTGCACAAAAGTTACAGCTGCATATATGATGTACATGCTGTTTAATGTTGTGTGTCGGGCGATTGAGGTGTTGAATAGAGCGCTGTCCTGAGAGATGATATCGGTCATTCATGCGTCTTTAGCACAGGAAAGGTGATTGAGGGGAAAACTGCATCCTGTGACAGAGAAAAACATTTTCATATAAAACTGGCTTTATGCTAAATAGACTTGTTTTCATCATTAACTGCAAAATTCTTTAACTTATGCAAATGCCTTTGATCCAAAAAAAAACAATAAACAGCTGAGCTGCTTAATAATGTTGGAGGTGTGAGGTAAGAAATGCACTACATTGTTCTGTAGTGAGCAGGTGTTGGAAGGATGTGAGCTGTGAAATGACCGTTAAAGACCTGTAGCACTGATCCTCACACCATCAGTGAAAATGATGTTGCTTACAGTCACTCCACATGAAGGTCAGCAGCTAAAAACCTAATCAAACAATAAGTACAGTAACTTTCATTGTGAGAACAACACAGGTGGTCATAATTACACAAACAACACTTCTGCTGTTAGTGACTCAGAATCCACAACACCTGGAGTCTGGATCAAAAGCAGCTAATTAACCTTATTCATCGCACCTGTGCTCTTCTACTTTGTGTTCAACAGTAAAAGGTTGAATGCCGTATTAAATTATGCATCAGATTTGTGTGTGTAAAACAGAATTTACCATTGTGTCTTTTCTGCACTTGCATGCACAGCCGCACACTTCCTCTTTTTCCTGACGCCTCGATCACAGAGGAGCCGACAGCAAACAGAGCAGGTGAGGTCAGCTGAGGATCGGAGGACGTGTTGGAGAGTAAATCTCGGTGGAGCGGAACATTGTGTGGATCTCTCTGTCAGGCCTGACGCTCAGCTTCCTGCACAGAGACAGACGAAGACAGCAGCAGGTCTGTTTCTTTATTTCATGTTTAAAGATGTCCATTAAACCAGCCAATAAATACTGGACCGCTGAATTCAAATTGACACTGAACAGATCAATTTAATAAGTACTTACTCTGAGTCAGAGAGGCTGGATTCGTTCTCTCTTTGCATGGTTTTGACAGTGTGAATGTGTGCTTCGCTCTGTCTGTCCCTGCAGCTCCAATAAAACTGATAGACTCTGTAATTAAACAGGAAACAACTTCATCCTCTACACCCTCTGCTTTAAATGAACTCCCTGAACAGTATATGCATGAACAGGTGTGCAGGTGAGCAGGTGTACACTGATGTGACTTAAAGCCTGTCACATGGAGGCCAAGAAGGAAAATCTGCAGAATAGATGACCAGCTGCTGTGGACAGATCTGTGTTTCAAGGTGGGGTAGACAGGATCTGAGGAAGTGCCAGTATTTGGGAGAAGTCTTGAATGTAAACTCTACCCCTCCTAACCAGTTTTCCCCTCAGCTCCTCCTCTCTCCTCTTGCTTTGCTCCAACAAGCCCCACCCACAAACAGACGCTTGTGTTCGCTCATATCATTCCAATTAAATTCAGATATGATGCAGATAAATACTTCAGATAATTACAAATGGGGCCCAGTCAACGTGGAAGTAAACAGCATTGATGCTACAGTAGATGCCAACAGACCACAAGCAAACACAAAGTTTGCGGGACCTCTACAACTAGCAGAAAGTGACATACTCCAGGACCCGAGGTGAACAGTTTAGCGGCGCTACAACACGCAGCAGGTCCCGTTTGACAAGAAACACTTCTGTTACAGACACTTGGCTTACTTTGTTTAAGTGGTTTACCTGTCCAGCAGAAAGGTTACAGGGTCCGTAAGATCCTGAAGTGTCCCAGTCATTTATGCTTCATTGATGTTGAACAGAGGCCTGTACTACGAAGCTGGATTTGGTCTTAGCAAGATAACTTCAGGATAACTTCTGGGTTTTCTGTACTACGAAGGTGGATCTCTTTTTATCCGGGTCCGTTGCCCCAGTAACTTACACGGAATGCCAAACCTGCTCCGGAGCAGGTTATGTTTGAGGATAAGAGCTCAGCGGGTATAAAAGACCGCCCACTGACCAATCGGTTCTCTTGGAAAATGGCCTGCCCACTTTTGCCGGATCCCGTGGACATCGGTGCTCGGATTGTGAGAGGAGCGCTTCGACGAGAGCGCTATTTTCGTGACCGGTCTAACCCATTTGATTTACCAGATGACGTTCTGTACGAGCATTACAGATTTTCTTTTGAGGGGCTGCTATATATTAGTGAGCTGTTGGAGCCTTACGTGGCGAACGTCACACACCGCAGTTGGGCGCTCACAGTCCCGCAGACGGTCTGCTCCGCGCTGAGGTTCTATGCCACCGGTGAGTAGTCATACAGATTTACTTGTCCAATTACAACAAAGCATGGCTCGCAAGAAAGGATGACAAAAGAATTTGTATGAGTCTCCTTTATTCCCCCACTCATCCATTTCCTCCAAACACACAGGCACTTTCATGTATGCTGTGGGAGATGCAGAGAACCTCCGCAAAAACACCTGCTGCAAAGCAATCCACAAAGTGACGAAGGCACTGACGGATCTGCGTGACATGTTTGTTGTTTTTCCTGGACATCTGCCTCTGCATGCCATCAAAGAGGGGTTTTATGCACTGGCAGGTAGGTCCATCAATGGCAAGTCCACATATTATACTTTTCCATGTATGTATTTGGATATTCAAACCTTATTCTCTTTTCTCAGGCTTCCCCAGAGTGATGGGGGCCATAAACTGCACTCACATCCCCATTACAGCCAGTCTGGGACCAAGTGAGGCAGACTATGTGAACAGGAAAAACTTCCACAGCCTCAATATTCAGGTAGCGTGAAGTCTAAGCAATGCACGAATATTTGTAATATACTAATATAAGTTCCAGTTTCAAGTGGCATATCAGTCATTTAGAATGTATTTAAGCAGATTCGAAAACTCCTGTTAACACCGAATGTGTCTGCAGATGACATGTGACCATCAAATGATGGTCAGTAGCCTTGAAGCAAAATGGCCAGGTTCCATGCACGACTCCCGCATCTTCAGAGAGTCAAAGCTGTGCAGGAAATTCGAGCAGGGTAAAACAACTGTACACTGAATCTGTTCTTTGATGTTCAACCACATTTTCAGCTCCTCAAGGCTCTTCCTCTTGATCTGCAGAGCTCTTCAGTGGAGTGCTGCTGGGAGACAGAGGGTACGCCTGCCAGTCCTACCTGCTGACCCCCTATCCTGACCCTGGTGCCGGTCCGCAAACTTTGTTTAATGTGACCTTTGGGGTCATCAAGGCCCGCTTCACCTGTCTCCATGGGCTCAGGATGGCTCCAGAGAGGGCCTGCAGGGTGATTGCTGCTTGTGTGGTGCTGCACAACATAGCAGCCATACGGTGGGAGAGGGTCCCTCCTGTCGACCCCCCCCCCCCCCCAGATTCAGTTACAAGCTGCTAATTCCCAGCAGCAGACCCCATCACCTGTGGAATTTGCCATTGATAAATAACTGCCACAATCTCCCTACCACTGTGAGAACCACTTTAGAAAAGAACAATGGCTAAGTTGTACCAGCCACGGTCTCTCTGAGCAGGCTGAGAGAGTCTCGTCATGAATGACTGCCGCCTACATCAATGATGACAAAGGTTTTGTTGGGTGAAGAAATCATCAGCAGCCACAGGTGAATTATGAGAATGACTGATTGAATTTGCCGTTACCTCTGTACGGGGCAATGTTTGCTTGGGTGGAGGTAGCAGTGTGACAGCCAGTGTGTCACTGTCCACTGGGGAGAAACTTTAGAACATTAGCAGTCACCTTTTCACAAACAACTCTGTGCTTTTTGAGCAAGTCAGTGGATGCCCTTTGCTTCACTGAAACGTATCCTGTACAAAGCAGGAGCTCTGCGAGCTGCTACCTCCACCAGGGTCAGATGTCACGCCACCCTCGATGCCCTCAGTGGCTGGGCGACCCCTGTTTAAGGACAGGGCCAGCTCCTCAGCCGGAGTGAAGTCCTCTGGAGCTGGCCCTCCCCCGTTTTTCTTGGCCGCACATTTTTTCTTATGGGCCGCAAATAATATCACAGGATCTCGTTTATCATCATTCTACAGCAGAGACATTGTGAGGAAATCGCTGTGTACATGCTGAAATACTGTATGTACAAATACAATCTGCCAATAAACCTACAAACCACTCTGAAGGATGTTTTTATATTTATTTAGAATTTGCACCCACGTTCTTTTTTCCCCACTGCTGCTGCGTCTGAAATCATGAGGTCGATGATGATGATGGTGATCAAACACTGAATGACAAAACATTTGGGGACCATAAATTAATGAACGCACAAATGTAGGGACATCTATCCGTGCCATCGTGATGACACATTAATATCTTCATCGTAGTGACTTACGCATCAACACAATCAGCGATTTTTTGCCAGCAGTCCCTCTGGCTTCTGGCAGGTGTGGCCGTGTTGCTCCTCATTGTGATTGTATCACGGAACTCCTCGTATTTACGCAGGATAATATCCTGTTCCTCAGCTGTGAAATACGACGCTCTTGCCGTTTGTCCATTGTGGAAAATGGTCCAGTGCCTCTAACCCCGCCCCTTTTACGTGTGCGCGCACAGATCTGAAGAGGCCACACCTGGATTCAGTTATCGAGTTGATAACCGGCTTCGTAGTACAACTGATCGGGATCGCGGAGATCCGGTGAAGTTGAGCGAGTTGTCGCAGAGTTATCCTGGATGTGTTAATCCAGCTTTGTAGTACAGGCCTCTGGCGTCTGAGCTCTCGTCTGGTCTACTTACTTTTTACCCATTATTCTGCCAGAGTCTCTAGTATTTACTTCGTTTTCTTGCTTGTGTTAGCCAAAGGAGGATTCAGACAATTTTCTGTATTCTCTGGTTGGTTTCTACTGTCCGGTATTGTAGCACGCTAAATTTGTTTGGGCTCGTGAACGTTATTCAAGGACATGGAGCGTGCCTCACAACATGAGGGGGCAGCGTCTGCCTCACAACCAATCAGGTCAGGGAGGTGGAGCATAGCTTTATTTACGGTCAGAAAGAGCGGACCGCTCAAAAACTTTTAAATGTTGGCTACAAAGGCATAAGAGAACACAGCCGTATTGTGATATTCCCAAATGTCATCAGTAACTTATAGCTATTGACTGATATTAAAAGGTGTTTTTGTAATACACACCACAAAAAAGATGCTTCTTTTTATGGATTCCTGCCTACCCCACTTTTCACCGTCTGAGAGCAAATACAGCACACCCAGAACAATCAGACATGATCAGTTGAATCTGAGCAGATGGATGAGTTATGGTAAGAAACTGAGAGAAAAAGAGGGAATGTGTTAGTAAGTGAGAGATGAGTGCTGCAAGATGCTGACAGGATGAGGGCATTAAGCTGAACCTCCTACACACACACCCTCACAAACCATACAACACAAGCATTTTTGTCCTTTTTTTCTTCAGTGAGAGATGGTGAAATCTGTTTTTAATGTTTGTTTATGAATAGATTGTATTTGTTGAGAAATTGTTACTGAAAATGTGTGACCACAACTCAAACGAATGGCTAGAGTTAAAATGGAGACTTAATGAAGCACTGCCTCTTCTGCATAATCCCCTTCCCATATAATGATAGAAACAAACAGCAGAATCTGCATCATTAGCATCACTGTTTTTCCAGGTCAGCCTCAAGTCCTACAGCTGGTAAGATTAACATGCTTTCACTTTTGTGGTTTGCATGTGCATGTCATGAGCCAGAGTAAAACAAAAGGGGAATGACCCATAAATGCAGACAAAAAAAAAATGATTTCTTAAAAAGAACTAAATGAAAAGCAACAAAATTTCACTTTAAATGTCCAACCAAAAAGGAATCCCAAGGGCAAAATCCAACAAAAAAGCACTGGGAAAAAAAAAAAAAACACAAGGAAACTAGGGATTCACACACTGACAGACAAACACACACACAATGAACCAACCAAGGTAGAGGGGAAGACAGGAACTATATACACACTGGGAAACGAGGTACAGGTGAGGCTGACGAGACACAGGTGAAACTCATGGGTGATTAACGAAGGAGGGAAAACTCGGGAAGTAAAACTAGACTAGCGACACAAGGAATCAACTACTACAAAATAAAAGAGGAAACTCTGAAACTGATCCAAAGAATA